TCTGAGTTGGCGGACGGGGTTGAGTTGGCGCATGTATCTGAGACCGTTGCCCTCGAAGTCGTTGATTACGAGCTTGAGCCTTAGCCCGCCGCTTCACAGGCGACATTTCCGCCTTGATCTTCACAGCCGAGACCTGATCTCCCCAGTTCTGTCTTCTCCACTGCATAACTGCCGTAAGCTTCTCCTGTGCTACTGCAATCGCAGTCTCTTGTTCTGATGTCAAGTTCAGCTCGCTTGCGCGAAGGCTCCTCGCAATGTTGATGCAAGGCCCAAAACCAGATAGTGCAGCGTCGACTCTTTTCTGTGTCTTGAATATCGTCGCTCTTTCTTTTCGAGTATATCTTCTGTCTCGCGGGCCGCATAGTTTGAAAAGCCAGATATCAGGGGTCGGTGGACGAGTGGCAAGATTTGGTTGTTGGTTGGAATTGTTGTCGCCAGTTTGGTGGTGTTTCGTGGTGGGTATGCGGACGGACGTGTTCTCCAAGTCAATGTCGGTCCTGCATAACAAATCTGAAGACTCTTCTTTGATGAAAGGCATGAAACTTGCGTCATGCATGTCGACCCTTTGAATCCCATCCTGGCTCCCCCCGGAATGCAGTTCAACTCTGCGCTCAACATCCCTGTCTCCAACTCTGGTCCAACCCCATCCCTCACCGGCCTCTTCTTGCAACTCCCTCATCTCTTCCGTCAACTCCTCCTTTACAAACAATTTCGTCCCATCTCCTGGTCGATCGAGACGCGAAGAGTGTTCTGATTTACCTAACAATACTGGGATGAGAGTACGTAAGGCATCAAGCATTAGAGCTGTCTTATGCTCTAGTGCTGAGGGTATCGGCCGGTCCTGGATAAGGTCACCCATGGTGCGCTGCGTCCAGTGTTGATACTGGTGATGTTCAGTTGTTGAAGTTCGTAAGTTGTTTACTATACTGCATGCGCGTTGCCATCGGGATAATCGTTCAAGGCGATAAGCGCACCCGTTAGACGATCCGTGCACCAGGACCCTCTCTCATCTCTTCTGAACTGCTGTTATCCGACATATTCTACAACAATCTCTGCACACGCACGAAGAACCAGCAAGAGTGGAAGACACATGTTGAAAAGATTACTATACTAAGGATTATAGTAAGCCAAAGATAAAGTCGCTAAAAGTAGAACAGATCGAGCGAAGGATAGAAAGCCGAAGAAAGGTAAGATGCTCAATAGGATTACAAGAATTCGTATCCGTTCCTTCGCCCTAAAAGGCGGGTTTGCCTGCGCCTTCAAATCGTGCCTCTCCAATCGTACCTTGCCACAACACACCGCCCCGTTAACGCCAAAGCATCGCTAAGCGCCAGAAGAAGAGGGAAAGACGAAGATGTGAAGGGAGTTACCGAGGCGAGACACGAATTAGATGGCGTTGCGGCGTGACTCAAAGAAGATCGAGTGGAAGTCGAAGAGGTGAAGGTCGAAGTAAAAGGGTGGTTTCAGTGACCAGAGTCGCTCACGCGTCTCCTCCGCCCTCGACTACCGCCTTCAGGTCGCTGAGCAAGAACATCACGAAGTTGCGGATCGTCTTTATCTTTATCAGTGTGGTGTACGCGTACATGTCTACAAAATTTGTTAGCTCTGCACTGCTCAGAATTTCCACCGTGAGTGCGTACCTCTGCAGGTTATCCGGTCTTGGATACTTGTGTTCGCGATCCGGACAAAACGGGCATACGTAGCCAGGCGACTGATGCACAAGCCCGTGCCGTATCATCTCGTTCTTTCGTTTGAAGCCTTTGCCACCCTCGCCTCGAGGGCAATCTTTGACAGGGCAGTAGTGCGGGCGATTTGAGGAATGAACGTTGGTGTGTGAACTGAAGAGGTCAGCATGTCCGACCCTACGATACTGGGGATACTCAAGTCTGGACTCACTTAAGAAGGTACTGCGTCTGGAAAGGAAGAGCGGTGCAGCCTGGATAATCGCACTTGAAGGATCCAACGATATGCTGAGTCACATTTTGCTGTAGACCAGAGCCAAGTGGAGGTGGCAGGACCCTCGACGCAAGCGCGCCATCTAGACTCATATGTCGAGGTCTTTGCTCAATAGGCGTTTGCTGTGTACCAGGGCTGATACCTTCCGAGCTTTGGTAGCTGTCGCTCGTCGATGCAGAGTGCAATGTCGCTGTGTAGGGACTGTTGTCTGACGCGGCGTGCGAAGGTCTCCGAGCGTCCGTGCCGAATGCGCCTCCTCCTGAGGTCCGGAGGAACAGATCGACACGATGTGGTAAATCGTGGGCACTCATTGGCGATGACGCACTTAGCGAAGGGAACGGCGTGGCTGGAGAATGAGAACTCATGGACAGTTGGCGAACCATGGATGTTGGTGACGCTCCTACTGAGGAGACCGATTGTCGATGGGGGAAGCTGATACTGTTTGCTCTCGTTGCTTCGTGGTCATTTGTTGCTGATCTCGCGATATCATCGATGTGACGGAACGAAGGTAGCTGCTGGCTAGGCGAAGTAGCTGCTCCATCACGCGCAGGAGATGGGGCTTGCAACGCAGGCAGTGTGTCTGCCGGAAGTCCTCCCCTTTGCGGAATTGTTAGACCGAGAGATGGTGCTGGATCATTGCCTTGGGGATGGCCATTGGGCAAGCCTCGAGGTGGCTGGCTTGGTGGGTACAACGATGCGTTCGACAAGGCGGACGATATAGACAGTGTTCGATCGATTCCATTTGAACTGGGATGCACGCCGTTTGGTGCTACATGAACTGCTGATGCTTGAGATGTGCGCCTATCTGCTGCAAATCCGAAAGGCCTAGTAGTTTCGTCTTCGATCACTGAGTCTCTGTGGGTAGCTGTCGCTTTTGAATCAGGTGCTGAGCTAAGCACTTCCTGCAGAGTAGGTGCTGAGTTGGCAGGACGAGCATTTGGTGGCACTGGCTGGCCATTGTTGGAGACGGATGGTGCCGTTGCCGTGCCTGGAGAGTCGGCATCAGGCATGTCGTCATCCTCAGAGCAGTGCGAATCAGAGTCGGAGTTCAAGGCCTGCTCGCTTGCTTTTTGTGCAATGTCTGGCCGGTTTGGGTCCATCTCACGAATGAGCACCCAGTCCCCTTGGGTGGGGCGAGTTCGGGGCTTATGTTTGTTAGGCCTTTTCCGATTTCGAGATTGAGGAGGACTGACACTCTGTCGGTTGGGTAGGTGACGGATGACTGGTGTCACGTGTGGCTGCGGCGTCGGAGATGGTGTTGCCTTTACAACACGAGCTTCCAAGAGTGGTGATTTGGAGAAATGGTCGTCGTCCTGGTAGTATTCCACTGGTTCCACGGATTGGATGGCGTCGAGCACCTGCATCTGGACAACAGATCCCGCGGTATAGGAAGATGGTTGTTAATTAGGTGGAATGAACTGGCGATTATCCCAACGATCGTTCAGCAAAGGCTCCCAGAGATAGGCCCAGGCGGCGGTGAAGAGAGCGGGTGGCACAGCAAGACCAGTCTTGAATCGCTGTCTGGAGGAGAGTCAGCATGACCATGGGCTGCATTCTTCTCGCAACGATGGAGGCGGAAAGTGCTGGGGCTGCGTGTCTGTGGGATGGTGACAGAAATGAGAAAAGCTGCGGTGCCGTCGGATGCGAGTTGGGCTAGAGGCGCTCGGGTCGAGCGACTGGGGCAGAGCAGGGGTAACAGTGTGGAAAAGACGGGTTGTTGGTCATCGGGGTGGGAATGCAGCGAGCAGAAGCATGAATCGCGAATTATATGTGGAGATATGATGCAAAGTAGCGACGCCAACGGTGAAGCGGCTCTGCGCGGTGGAAAACATACCCGAGGGTGCCAGTGCGACGGCTCTTTTTCAGCCTCAAGGCGGTGTCGAAGGGGCCTGCCGATCGCAAACATCAACTCGCGCAGGCGCAGATGGGACGGGCGTGCGGTCACGAATAGCATAGGGGTGGGTAGCAGTGTGCGAGCCTCGTCTGCCCTTACAGCATCGAGGAGGAGGATGGACGGCTGGCCTTGGAGGGACTGCGGCGGATGAGGAGGCTGACTTGCGGGGGCTTGTTGGCTGGACGGCCTTGATGCGGACGCTGGAACAGGCGGAAGTCGGGGTGCTAGGTCAGCGTGCGGGAGACAGCACGGGGTGGCAGGAATTGGGCAGCGAAGATGAGGGTTGTGTGTGCAAGTCAATAGATCCAGCCAAAGTCATTGTGCTGCCGTCGCGCCAGTCGCCGTCGCCCTCCCCCCAAGCTCCTGCGAGGCGCAGCCCCAGCTTACCTACAGCGCGCGAGGCTCTAATCCAATCCAGTTTTTATGAGGCTCCCACCGAAGTTTGCCATCCCCGCACCGAGGGCCGCTAGCTGCTCTGGGACCCCACAGGCCTCCAGGGCTCCAGAGCTACTCCACGGGGACCGAGCCCAGCCCCGCCTCTTTGCACGCCCAAGAACGAGAAGCCTCCATCGGCCCTATTGCGAACCTGCAGCTGCCCTAACACGAACTCAATAGCCTCCCGACGTCTCTGCTAATTCTTCCGCTGCGTGGCATTTGTCAGTGGGATACTCGCGGCACGACGTGCGTGCGGCGTCGTGCGTTGCCCTGCTGCGGCTTCACCTTCGCTTGCCCGGCCGCACTTGGATGGACCTCGACGCTTAGATTAACTGCCATGGGTAATCCTCCTGTTCTATCGACTACATGTGCATGCGTGTCCAGCGACAGCATGCACTGCATCCCTCTTCCCCTCTCCGCCCGCTGTCAAATGCCACCGACCGCCTATCGTACAGTCTTATGCTGCATGCGCTCTTGTCTACTACTGTGCCGCTGAGAAATGCTCCAACAGAAATGTGACAGACACGCCCACCCCCACAGTCACTGGCAACCGGCGAGTAAAAACATGCTCCTCGGTAGATCAACGCCCAAAAACAAATCGTGGCTGATAAAGCTGTTGTTGGCGCCAGAAACGGTATCCCACCCATAAATCGTCCAATCCCGTTTTATCCTCGCCCGCAATAACGCACATCGGCTAAGCACGTGCATGCCGCCATCACGCTTCCGGCTTCTTGCCAAATCCAGGGATTCCACTAAACCTGGTGCCAGCGGGGAGCTTGGGTCGACCAAAGTTCTCGTCGAGATCGAGAATCACCTTGAGCGCGTTGCGGCTGCGCAGGTACGGCAGCGGTGCCGTCGCCTCTTCAAGGCCGACGGATGGCTCCAAGCTTGCCGAATCGTGGCTAGAGCCCGGCATCGGGAGAGCTGCGGACATGTCAGTGGCCCATTGGCGCATCACATTGCGGTGCAAGACTTACCTCGCTGTAGAACCTCATAGCCAGCCAGTGTGAAACCGAATTGTGGTGACGAGCGCATGATACGGGCGGGACCACCCTTGAAGAAGGCCTTGAAGCCTTCCTCCTTCCAGATGGTCGACGCTGCGTGGCGCAGGCCAGTGTATGCAACTTCGCCCTTGCGCGCCTCTACTTGTAACCTAGTCTTGATCACGTCGCACGGTGTGGTCAGGTACGCTGCAGGCATACCCGCGATGGCACCAGCGCTCAGCATTTGCAGGACACCGAGCGACTTTTGCGGGCTCTCGCCGAAGACGTCTCTCTTCAGATGGCTGTAGGTGGGGAAGTAGATGGCAGAAAAGGGGACTGTGCAGGCGGTCAGCGATATCCGGAGGGTGTGAGAGAGCAGAACATACCGTCACGCAGGAGACATGCGCTAGCTCCCTTGTAGAGACCGACGAGACCCAAGTTGCGGACGATCCACATGGCAGACCGCCTGGGAACACCCTCGACGTTCTTGGACAGTTCACCCTGAATTTGTAACCGAATCTTGACAATCTCGAGAGGGTTTGTGAAAACCTATAATAGTGTGTTAGTACTTGCTGCCAATAGAGGAAGTGCAAGTAGGTAGTAACTCACAACTTGGCAAGCACCCGCAGTTCCACCCGCCAACATCTCGTGGGGGAACTTGATTTGGCCTGTTGACTTGTCGGTCATCTTGCCACGAACAAGATCGTTGACCGTGAGCTTGATAGCCTTCTCGGGCGCAACACCAACAAGCTGGGGCAGGACTCCAGAGTAGAGACCCTTGAATCCCTCGTTCTTGATGACCTTCTTTGCGCAGTCGAGCGAGTTTTTGTACAGGACGTGCCCGACGCCTGAGCTCCTCTGGTTCTGCATTCTTGTCTTGACCAGATCGATGGGGTAGACCATGAAGGCACCGAACGCACCAGCCAACGAACCGAGGGCGAAGTGGTGGACCGACTCTAGGATGTCGTGCCATATCGATTTTGTGGTCGCAAAGACCTTTTGCCCAGACTCGGAGATACCCTGAGCGGCCAACGATCCTGCCCTGTGCCAGGACGGGTCGAGCACGCGGGCAAAGTCTCGCAGACCAAGTCGCCCAGACGCCTCGTCGAGACCGGCGAAGTGGAAGAGGATGTCTGCCTCCATGGGTGTGTAGAGGTTGAAGCGACTTATCCGGGCGGCCTCGTTGAGGAAATCTGTGCGGGTGATCTTGCCGTCGGAGCTCTTCTGTGTGGCATTGCGGATGATAAGCTCTATCATGTCCATCTGCTGGATGACGTTCTGGAAGGCGCGCACGTTGGCGTAGGAGATCTTGCTGCCAACCGAGATGTTGCACAGGGTGGGTAGGTTCTCGAGGAGGTAGTCGGAAAGCTTGTGGCTCGCAGTCTCGCGTATTATGCGCTGGAAATGCTCTGGCTCGATGAAGCCGTCCTTGTTCTTGTCAAAGAAGGTGAAGCCCTGACGTACCCGCTCGCCCTGCAGCCCTCGCAGCAGCTGGGCGAACTGGGGGTAGGTCATCGTGTGCCTGTGCTTCTTGGAACCAATGTACAGCGAGGCCCAGCCGCCCTCCCAGTCGAAGGGCAGGCTGTCCTCGGTCTTGTGCGCCTTCCATGTCTCGTAGAAGTCGTCAAAGTTGATGTAGCCGGTGCGCTGCTTGTCGAAGAAGCGGAAGACGACCTCGTACTCGGCGTCGGGTTTGGCGAGCAGGTTCTGGAAGACGGACCAGTCGTGCATGCTGACCTTGCCCTTCTGGTCGCGATCGGCGACCTGGAAGAGGATGCCATACTGGAACCGCTTGATCTTGTGCTGGAGGCGGGCACGTCATTAGCTTGCTTGACTCGACACTTTGCAGACAGCCCTGCTTACGAAGTCCTCGCCCTCGGGCGCGACAGCTGTGATGAACTGGTCCTGGTCGAGGTAGTAGTCGCCTGACTCGTCCTTCCGGGCGTGCTTCATAAAGGCGGCGCGCGTGAGCTGCGACAGCTGGGGCTCGTCGGTGGTGCCCAGCAGCACCTCGCGTACTTCTTCCGTGACGGTCGCCATAGTGAGGGGATGACAGCAGCCCGGGAAGCAAACGGTGGTTGCAATTGACCGGGTTGGGGCCAGGTGTTAGTGAGAAAGGGTGTAGCGACGCGGATGGGGTGAGTCGGCCTCTACGCCGTCGACGACAGCTCGCGGCTGGCAGCGAGCTCGGAGGTAAGCTAATTTTTAATTGCGAGCCATTGGCGGGGGTCGGAGAAAGCGTGGGGAAGGCACGGCTGCGAACAAACACCCCGAGCGCAGCTACTCACGGTCTAAGGGAATCTTGAGTTTAATGAATTGACTCCTGATTCTGAAAACCTGCTTGCTTCCATTCACCCTGTGGCTTACTCTGCGCAGAGGCTCTTACCGCTGTTTCCGTGTTGTCTGCTTCCCGAGCTCGCCTCATCACTGCAGCCCCTGTCAGATTCTATATAGAGAACCTTGGAACACTCTAGAAATGAGCCTCAGTCGCGTACCGTTGCGCACCGATCCATGAACCGCTCTCCGGGAATAGTTAATCAACGCGGCGCATGGACATCGTCGGAATCGCTGCAGCTGCCGGTCCCCATGAGGCTCTGTGTCGCTGGCTATGGCCCTTTACCCCGGATCGGTGCGCTGTCAAGCTTTAGCGTTACCATCGCCCAGGCACACGCGACCTTAAGACCAGTTCTTATGGTACCTGAAGCACCGGCGCAGGGCGGCTGTCATCTATCTGCAGATCAGGCGCAAGTGTTACCATGGCTATCCAGACGCTTTCTCCTGCTGTGCGACATCGCTTTCGCACCGTCTGCGTGCCTGCCTCCATTCGGCTCTCGGATCACTAGTCTGATGCGCGGACACCCGGGAATCATAGCCCAGAAGAGTCAAAAGATGAGTGAAAGACGACTGCTGTATCGCGCATGTCTTCAGAACAGGTGAGCATGTCGCAGAGATGTTCCAAACCGCCCGAGCCATCGCAGTGGAATTCTCCGCAAAGACAGCTATGCAGCTGCGTCAGCTGTGACGACAGCGCAAGGGCCATTCCACTGACTCCACCTTCCCTCCAAGCTCGCAACCGCAACCAGCAACCACCAGTATATATCGCAATGTCGCTTCTTACCAGCGATTCGATGCCACTGCTCTCTGTATTCTGGACCATGGCTCTGGTAGCGCCTTCCGCCGTGCCAGAGCACGGCCGCTCCCAACACGCTGATTGATCCCACAGCTGCCATCTCAAGACAAGGCCCCGTAGCCATCTCGGAGCACGCGCGGTCTTGATAGCCAACTGCTTCAATGCGTGTCTGAGTTATACAAGCCTATTGGCCGAAAACTCTTGCTGCTTGCGGCCGCTCCAAGGCGGAGACAAGACAGCGGAATCTCTGGGCACGTCTCATGCACTTGGCGGAGCCTCACCATCAGCAAGAACATGGTGGTAACACCGCGCCCCAGTGGCTGAAATTCATATATGTGCGATGCCAGCCGTCGCCAGACACTCGGCGCCCACCTTTCCATATCTTGTCTTCTGGGCAACGCTGGTCACCCCAAGCTCGGCATCAAGCCGACGCCCTGCACTGCCATGTGCTACATGTACTCTGATCATATAAGACTAGCCATGGTCCCAGGAACCAGGGTTCTGTCAAACACAGCTCTGCAACTGCATATTCAAGATGGCGTCTCCAGTCACAGCCAAGTATGATTGGATTCTTGCAATCACTACTATTGCCTTTGTGTTCTCCGCCTTCGGAAACGGCGCCAACGATGTCGCCAACGCGTATGCCACTTCGGTCGCCGCCCGTACCCTGACTATGGTCCAGGTTGGACCTCTTGCTGTGGTCACAGAGTTCATTGGCGCTGTTGCACTTGGAGCACGTGTGACCTCAACCATCAAGAACGGCATTATCTCGATCGACCGCTTCGAGGGCAACCCGGGTGCGCTCATGTTGGCCATGGGATGTGCTGGTGAGTTTCCTGATTCAAGTGAAGAGGCTGAGCTAAAATGCAACAGAGGTTGGTAGTGCTTTCTGGTTGATGCTAGCCACGCATTGGGGAATGCCAGTCTCAACTACGCAGACTGTGGTAGGCGCTCTTATTGGAGTCGGGTTTGCTAGTCAGGCCCCCGTCAAATGGGCGTGGGAGTCTGGCTCGGTGTCACAGGTTGCTGCTTCTTGGGGCATCGCACCTCTGATTGCTGGTGCCTTTTCCGCGATCATCTTCGGCACCGTCAAGTACTCGGTTCTCGAACGCAAAGACCCTTTCAAGCACGCCATGCGCCTCATCCCCTTCTACTTCGCCATGACAGGAGCTATCTTGGCTCTGTTTATTGTCGTGGAAGCGCCTACTGCGCCCTCCCTCGAAGAATTTGGAGCTGGCAAAGCTGCTGGTATCATCTTGGGAGTGTTCTTTGGATGCTTGGCAATCTGCTACATCTTCTTTATCCCGTTCTTCAAGCGCAAGCTCATCATGAAGGACCCCCGCGTCAGGATCTGGCATGTCATCTTGGGCCCTCTACTCCTCAAAGAGAGTACTACTCTATTCTGGCCAGGCAAAGGCAACGAATACGTCACCGATTACTACGAGGATGCCTACGGCGAAGTCCATGCTGGCACCAACGCAAAGCATGCTGTTTCGGGTCCCGCCAGCGACGATGAGATCAAGAAAGTGGATGCAGGATCGCCCTCCGGTTCGACCAAGGACGGTGGCGTCCTTCCCAGCGACCCCGAAAAGACACGCGTAGAAGAAAGCACCACTGCACCCACCCGCAAACTGAAGACGCCGGAGCCCTACGAGCGCTGGATCGTTCCTGTCCAGCATCTCTCATGGGTTAACCCTCAGAAGTGGTGGGCATACGCCAAGTTCGGTTTCCTCAGGGGTGTCACCTGCGACGTTATCACACACGACAACGATCTTCTGCGCGCCATCCACTCCAAGGCTATCCGTTACGACGTTCGTGTCGAGCATCTGTGGACGTACTGCCAGGTTGTATCAGCTATGATGATGTCCATCGCTCACGGCTCCAACGATGTAGCCAATGCTGTCGGACCCTGGGCCGCTGTCTATCAGACATACCTTGCTGGAGAGGTAGCTACTCGCTCGCCTACTCCCGTTTGGTTCTTGGTCGTAGCCGGTCTCCTACTCGGTCTTGGTTTCTGGTAAGTAAAGACCTTGTACAAACAACATGTGAAACATTTACTAACAGAACAATAGGTTCTACGGATATCACATCGTTCGTGCCCTTGGTAATAAGATTACTCAGATGTCACCTACCCGCGGTTTCTCTGTCGAACTCGGCGCTGCTGTTACCGTCTTGCTGGCTTCTCGACTTGGTCTCCCAGTATCGACCACTCAGTGTCTGACTGGTTCAGCAGTTGGTGTGGCTTTGATGAACTACGATCTTGGTGCCGTCAACTGGCGCCAACTCGCTTTCATCTTCATGGGTTGGGTAAGTTGTATCCCGAATGCTTTGGTTCTTGATCTCTAACGGTCTCAGGTCATGACCCTACCCGCCGCCGGTCTCGTCTCCGGTCTTCTGTGCGTCATGGCGCTCAACGCCCCTAGCTTCTAATCGACTCCATGATGGGGTGACTTCTTCTGTTTTGTCTCTTTTGAGAGCACAGTCTTGTGTATTAAATTGCAAAGGTGCAGGCGAATTTACGCCGACGTACAGCATCCGCTAGTTCAATCATTAATTTTTGTTTCCCGCAAGTATGTTCTTATATACCATGTCACTTGTTCCATTGGGATGTCCCGGAGATTCGTGCTGCGTGGCTGCCCAAGATGTTAGGAAACGCATGACATGCCAACAAGACGACATCTCTCACCCCAACAACACTCACCCATCCCGTCCTCTCTAGACTCAATCACACAAACCCTGGAATCCACCTCCACCTCACCCTCCTCACATAAGCCAAATATTCCCCTCTAACCTCCTCCTCCGTCTTCTCCCCACCAACAGTCCCCTCATACCCCAAAAACTGCTCTTCCTCCAACACCGCTCCAATTCTATACAACCACAAAAGCACCAGAACCGCTCCCACTAGCCCCACACTCCTGACCGGCATGGATATCCACGCGCCACTAACATCATGTCCATGCAACAAGTAGTCCGGCAGCCACGCGACCAAAACATACACCACAGCGCCCACCCACCCCAACGCATAAGCCACATACGTCGGATGCCGGATGTAGTTATACGGACCTGTGTCAACGACGTGTTGTGGTGTCACGCGACCGTAGATTACGGCGAATGTACCAGGCCGCGTTGTTAGCGCCATCCATGTGAATAACAGTATGCTGCTGAGGAGGAAGGTGGATGCCATTGTTGTCCCCAAGATTGTTGTGGTAGTTGGAGTAGAGATTGGGGATGCTGCGGCAAAAAGGAGCGGTACTGCTGATAGTGTTCCCGCTATACATGAGACGAGCGCGAGTAGGTGGATGGAATACGGATACACGAGTCCAGAGGGCGGAGATTTGAAGTGGAAGGCTAATGCGTAGAACTGGGTGGACATGAAGACCAGGTAAAGGATTCGCAGCAGGAGTATTTGCATTTTTTGCTGATTGGTTGAGGTGCGAGATTTTTGTGTTAGACGGAAGTTGCGCTGGGGTATTTTTGATGGATAGAAACAGATGAGGAGACCTTGAGTTAGAACTTCATGTTGGTGTGGAATTCCGTTTAGAGATGGGCGGGGTCTTTCTTCCGCGTTGAATCTGGATATGCAGGCTTACGGGATCATTGTCGCACGGCAATCGCTATCTTCAGCGATGTATTGATAGGCTATCTTCTATATCACATGATTGCGTGGCTGAGAAAATGTGTCTGGTAAACTCGCAGTAGCAAGGTATCATTCAAGTATTACTGTACGGTATATTACATAAACATTATAAAACATGCATCGACGCGATGAATCTACTTTTGCTTGTCTTGCAAATCCTCATCTACGGTGCAACTCGTGAATCAATCCATGCGACTATTACGATGCGCCTCCATTCTCGCTTCTCCCTCCTCTTGCATTTGGTCATTCATACGCGACTCTCTCCTCCTGTTCATCTCATCTTCGATAGCCTGGTTTGGGCCTGGTACCAAGCCCCAAGGTCCTTTGCCGATCTTAGCACCTCTGTACTTGACGGCCAAGCCAACACATACGGGCCCAATGATTGTATTCAGCAAAATAGCCCATATGGCTGTTATGAAGCCCTCCGCAGATACATACGGCGTGTTGTTGTAGCCGATTTCCACGATTAGTAGACCGATTTCTCCACGGGCGACCATGGCCATGCCCAGCAAAAGCATGGGCGAGACGGCCGACTGTACCGCAGCTTTGCGGGTGGGAGAGTAAGGCGATGAAGTGACCTTCTCGAGGTTATTTCCATTCTCGGCCGCGGATGCTTCGTTTTGTGCTTCTTGTGCTTTCTTGGGATCATGCGTTGCGGCACCCCAGATAGGGATCCAAACTCCAACGAGCGCCTTACCAACCAGCATGAGTAGGGTGTATACGACGCCTTTCCAGATGGCTTCTCCAGTCCAAAGATCCAAAAACGGAATCGCGAATCCTATGCTAGCAAAGAAAAGAGGTCCAAGTACATACTGCTGCGCGTCCAAACAGTATACCTCAAAGGTATGCACAAAGGTCGGAGACTTGTCTTTGGAGCGCTCGCCTTCTTCGCGGCTCATAACCACGAAGGGACCTTCCGGGTGTGTAGAAGGGAGATACGTCAAGAAGGCGCCAGCGAGGAAAGCTCCAAACAGGATGGAGGTCCCTGCGAAGGCTGCGACTGAGATAAAGGCTGATAATACCAGGATCATCAGCATAATGTTTGACAAGTGGTCGAACTTGTGAAAATGCCTCTCAACGTATCTTCGAAACAGAGGCGCAAAGACCCATTTGGTGAGAACTGGGGTAAGAATTGCCATGGCCGCAGATGCGAGAATAGGCCGGCCGATCAGCCATCCCAAGTTGACGTTTCCACCGGACGCGACATCACCCAGGTCGTGGATGACACTTGACATGACAAGACCTGTCACATCGTCAATGACTGCAGCGCTGACAAGCACCGCGCCGACCTTGGTTTGGCTGAGATCGACATCCTTGGAGGCGCTTGAGATAACGGCAAAGGTGGTGCCCAGGCTTGTCGTGCTCAGAGCAGCGCCGATGATGAAGGTCTCGACAGCGCCATAGCCGAACCCAAGATACAGCAACAGGTAGCTGAAACCTATTGGACACAGTACGCCTGTGGCAGCCCCACAGATCGACAGCGTGAAGTTGGCCTTGAGCAGGTCAAGGCGAGTGCTCAAACCGCCCTCGAAGATAATCAAGATCAAGCCAATGTAGCCAAGATATAGAAACGTCTCTAAATACCGGGGCACAGAGTCAGTAAATGTCGCACAGGGGGCCTCTTCTGCAGCAGGGACGCGTACCAGCCCAATCATGTTCGAGGATATTCGCCAACGGCTCGCCATATATGATACCAACCGCAATCGGACCAATGATGCCGGCACGGATAACCTTGGCCGAAACGTACTCCGACAACCATAAGAAGGTGAAGAAAGATACCAGGATAAGAATTTCGACGACTTAAGCTCGCGTTAGTCTAGATCGACGTTTCGGGGTATGCAGGTGCTGAACGATTGTGACAAGGAACGCTTACTTTCGGGCTCGTGATACTGCAAGAACGGGGCAGCGTCGGGGTTTGAGGACGCCATGCTACACAGACAGGTGTCACAGTGTCCTTGTTGGAGAGGCTGGGGGAGCAGCAAGCAATAGCTAAGCCCGTGAGAAGGCTGGGCTCGAGAACACAAGCGGCAGACCCTGGCGTGCCATGACGACGTCATGTTAGAGCCGCGGGCATCACGGCGTAGAACTCTTTCGAGCCACGGCGCTATCAATCACCTCAACGGCCAAGCCCACGTGCAGGGCCCATGCAGACATCTCGCCCAGTATTTCGCCCAGTTCGCAGTGCATCTACACGCGGCTCCGGCAGGTCGCTCCACACTTTTCTTCACCACGAGGTCCGTGCACCGGGGAATCTCCGCTGGATCTCGACTCCGCCAGGCTGCACGATGCTCCGCATACGACCATTCACAGCGCGTCAAGACAAGGCTTAGGCAAGGCTTGAGTCTGCGAAACGCCTATCGTCTGCTCCACCGCGGTGTTGAAACGGAAAGTTCTGCAGGTGACGAGTCGAACAGGCAGGTTCAAGAAGATCCTGATGCCTGCCAAGGCCAAGGCCAAGCCAGGAATGCCGTATACCCGATCTACCCCAGTAACGTGATGAGCACTCAATGGCTGTCTGCACTGCCAAGGGTGGAGAAGTTTTTTGGTCGCTAGCCCGGCATTCGCCTCCAGAATCGCGACATGGTGTACTTGGCGGGACTGGCGAACCCTTGGCATGAGAGAGCCGACTTCCTTCACCGACATCCCCACCACTCAACATATATCTTCACGACGCCTGAGACCTTTCCTTCTCTTCCTCACCACCTGTTGTCGGTACCACCTCGTTCTCGTTTGACGTTTGCTCCAAACTTGCCAGCTCCTTTCCTCGTCATCTTTCAACCTCAACCCCACCCTCACAAACCCCACAAGTCGCCAATCACGGCGTAAATCTGGAGGAGTCTGACCCCCGCCCCCTCCTGAGGTCCTCTATGCATACCAAACTCAACACCCAATCCAACAAATTTGTCCACGTGGCTATAGTCCGCGGGGCCAGAACACGCAGAAGACTAGAGCGCTGATTGCTGTCTTGACTTGCCGATATCCGTATCATATCAACCCAATTTTACAACCCGAACACCAAACATCCAACAACCAACTCTTTTGATTCCCTAAACACCCACCATCATGGGGAAGAAAGAAACGACCCTTGAGGGTCACGTCAGTGGACAATGCAACAAGCCAATGTCCGCCCCCGCTCACAGCCTTACGCTGGAGCAAGTCAAGACCGAGCTGAAGACCGATGAATGGCATGGTCTTGATGACTCCGAAGCCAAGCGTCGTGTCGACGACTATGGCGCCAACGAACTTGGAGAAGCTGAGAGCGTCTCCCCAGTCAAGATTCTCATCGCGCAGGTCGCCAACGCTATGACGCTAGTCCTCATCATGGCCATGGCTGTCAGTTTCGGTATCAAGTCCTGGATCGAAGGTGGTGTTGTCGCCTTCGTTATTGGTCTCAACATCGTCGTCGGTTTCTTCCAGGAATGGTCCGCTGAGAAGACCATGGATTCCCTACGCTCTCTCAGTTCGCCTACTGCCCGTCTCATCCGCGGTGGCCAGCAAGTTACCATCCCTTCCGCCGATGTTGTTCCTGGAGATGTCATTGAGGTCAAGGTTGGAGACACGATCCCTGCCGATATGCGTGTCTTTGACGCCGTCAACTTCGAGACCGACGAAGCTCTGCTTACCGGAGAGTCTCTGCCTGTTCGCAAGCAAGAGGACGCCACTTTCGAAGAGAAGACTGGTCCCGGAGATCGTCTCAACGTTGCCTACAGCTCTTCCTCGGTCACCAAGGGCCGAGCCAAGGGAATTGTCTTCGCGACCGGTGCCTACACCGAAATTGGTGCCATCGCTGCTCAGCTCCGCGAGACCAAGTCCAAGGTCCGACCTGTCAAGCGAAAGGAGAACGGAAAGGCGAAGCCCCACCGTTACCTCGAGGCTTACACACTCACCACTACCGACGCTATCGGTCGCTTTTTGGGTCTCAACGTCGGAACGCCTCTCCAGAAGAAGCTTTCCAAGCTAGCCGTGTTGCTCTTCTTCATTGCCGTCGTGTGTGCCATCATCGTCCTTGCAGCCAACGAGTTCAGTTCTCGCCAGGAAGTCATCATTTACGCTGTCGCCACCGGCCTGTCCATGATACCCGCTAGTTTGGTCGTTGTGCTCACGATTACCATGGCCGCTGGTACCAAGTCCATGGTTAAGCGCAATGTCATCGTCCGAAACCTGAAGTCCCTCGAGGCTCTCGGTGGTGTTACCGACATCTGCTCTGACAAGACCGGAACGCTTACGCAGGGTAAAATGATTGCCCGTGGTGCTTGGATCCCGGGTGTTGGAACCTACACCATCGAAGATTCCACCGCTCCTCAGGACCCTACCGCTGGTCACGTGCGTTTCGGTTCCGCTGCTCCTAGCCAGATGGACCTCAAGTCCGGAGGCGAGGCTTGCGGTGAGCGTCTCGGTGTTGAGAAGCTTGAAGGCCACAACATCGAAGGCTTCGGTGAATTCCTCAAGGTCGCGTCTTTGGCCAACTTGGCTGCTGTCAAGCAGAACAATGAAGGCGCCTGGGAGGCTCATGGTGACCCCACCGAAATCGCTATTCAGGTTTTCGCATCCCGGTTCGGCATGAACCGCAGCCATCTCGTCAAGGGCGACTCTGCTACCTGGGAGGATCTCGTTGAGCTTCCATTCGACTCCGACGTCAAGCGCATGTCAGTTATCATGAAGCACAGCTCTGGCAACTACGCTTTCACCAAGGGTGCCGTCGAGCGCGTTATCCAGAGCTGTACCACCTACCTCGCTGACGGCAAGGAGCAATCCCAGCCCATCACCGACGAGTTCCGCGAGGAGATTCTTTCCCACATGCAAGCTCTGGCCAGTCTCGGTCTCCGTGTCTTGGCTTTGGCCAGCAAGAAGTACCCTGGCGAAGTTGAGAAGGGTGCTGAAGTTGCTCGTACCTCTGTCGAATCCGACCTTGTCTTCCGTGGTCTCATCGGTCTTTACGACCCTCCCCGTCCTGAATCCGCTGTCGCTGTCCGCCAATGCCACGAGGCTGGTATTGAGGTCCACATGTTGACTGGTGACCATCCTGAGGTAAGTCTTGACTACAAAGAGCATTTGAAACATACTGACCCTTTATGCAGACAGCAAAGGCTATTGCCATTGAAGTCCATATCCTGCCATCGGCCGACCGCTACAAGAGGATTTCTGCCGATATCGCCAAGTCGCTGGTTATGACTGCTTCCGAATTTGATGAACTCACTGATGATCAAGTCGATGAGCTCCCTGTCCTGCCATTGGTAGTAGCCCGTTGTGCGCCTAGCACAAAGGTTCGCATGATCGAAGCTCTCCACCGCCGCGGCCGATTCTGCGCCATGACCGGTGACGGTGTCAACGATTCTCCCTCGCTGAAGCGTGCCGACGTTGGTATTGCCATGGGTCAAGCCGGTTCCGACGTCGCCAAGGAAGCCTCCGACATCGTCCTCACAGACGACAACTTCGCATCCATTCTCGCTGCCATTGAAGAAGGTCGCCGTATCTTCGACAACATCCAGAAGTTCGTGCTGCACGTCTTGGCTGAGAACGTCGCTCAGGCTGGTACACTTCTCGTTGGTCTTGCCTTCAAAGACAGGACTGGTCTCTCCGTTTTCCCCCTCGCGCCCGTCCAGGTTGTGTGGATTATCATGGCCACATCTGGATTGCCAGACATGGGTCTCGGTTTCGAACGCGCCGTCCCTGATATCCTGAACCGCCCGCCCCAGTCCCTCAAGACGGGTATCTTCACCATGGAGTTCCTCGTCGACATGGTCGTCTATGGTCTCTGGATCACGCTTCTGTGCTTGGCCAGTTTCGTGCTCGTTGTCTTTGGATTCGGTGACGGAGAGCTCGGCCAGGGCTGCAACGAGACCTATTCCGAGCAGTGCGAGTTGGTTTTCCGTGCCCGCGCCTGCACATTCGCCTGTTTGACATGGTTCGCTCTCTTCCTCGCCTGGGAGATGATTGACATGCGTCGCTCTTTCTTCCGCATGCAGCCCGGCAGCAAGCGCTACTTCACCCAGTGGATGATCGATGTATGGAGGAACCAGTTCCTCTTCTGGGCCATTATGATCGGCTTCGTCCTTCTCTTCCCGCTCATCTACATCCCTGTTCTCAACACGGTTGTGTTCAAGCACGCGCCCATCGACTGGGAGTGGGGCATCGTCTTCGTCGAGACTGGTATCTTCTTTGCCGGTATCGAGCTCTGGAAGTGGTGCAAGCGCGTCTACTTCCGTCGTATGGCGGCTAAGCACGGCAATGGAAAGGTCGACAAGAATATGGACATCGAGGACCGTACCTTTGGTCGCTACTACAGCCGCGACTCTTCTGTCGCTGGTAGCGAAAACATGCAGGAGAAGGCTTAGAGCCTTACCTATGGAGGAACTGTATAAAGAGAAGTATTGCAGGCTGAGGAGGCCCTGCTAGGAGTATGCGAGGAGGTTTTCTTGCTCTTCGCGAGCATGATACCTGTCTGGCACAAAAGTTAGTCATATAGAATGCTTAGACATGACCACGACAACGTGCATTACGATCCTTAGATATAATAAAAAAGATTACCACATCATACATTCTACGTTCCCATCTTCTGAGAACTGCAGTGTGCGACGTCCTCGTTACCGCTGCAAGTACAACCGACGGAATTCCCTTCTGGCGCTCGGGCTTTGATGGGACCCATCGCACTAACCGCTTCGGGCATGACTGTTCGCATCAGATACCTAGGTACAGAAGGAACGAATGTGCAAGTACAAAAGATCGAGAGTGCATTCAGAGTTGTTTTTTCCTGGGCATTCTTTCATATGTATACGACTAGAGCGAGGCGCAGCCGCCGAAGTAAACTGCGGTATTTTGCATTGGTGCGACGCGGTAGCTTTGCGGCATTTTACTTTACCCCGACACATTACCTCCCAACCCTCCGCACCAGGCCGGCAAAAGATGAGATCGTCAAGAACACCATGTGCGCAGCGAATCGCGGGATAGAATGAAAACGTGGAGGGTGTACACGTGGGCATGGGTAGCTTCTGGCTGGGAAGTACCGCACAAGGGTGATATAACGACGGAGACGGAGAAGGTCTATGAGAGGGAAAATAGATGAAGCATTTGTCTAAAAAGTTGGTATTCGTCATGGAAGTGTAGTGGGAACACGTCAACCGGGAAAAAAACTGAACAGGCCTGCAGCCCACATCAACTTGAAAACCTACAAGATAGGTGACATGGCGTCGATGTAGGCTCTGGACATATCCAGGTTTTTCTGGTATGAAGTGGGAATGGCTACCTGCCGGTACCTCTACCCTCCAAACAGGTAGGTAGAGATGCAATATGATACAAATCGCGCAACGATCTTCACCTAAACGACCAATCGCCCTGGCTCGGCCTCAAGCACCGTCTTTACGCGCTCGAGGAAAACACGACCGCGCTTCTCGTCGCCCTTGGGCACGCTCACACTGAATACATTGAGGGGACCCGCGACACCTGCTGCGCCCGAAACAGGCTTAGCGGAGGTCTTCTTGCCGGCTAGCATGTCGAGGATGTCCGACTTTGGTGCTGGGGCGCGCTTGCTGGGGATGGTGGTAGGTGGCAGCGCGGTGACTTCTGGGACGAAGTTGCCCCGCGAGTACTTCGATGATACCTTGTCGAGGCCCAGAACAGCGTTGAATAGCTCGTCGGCGGTTGGCTTTGCGACCTTGGATCGGGGGAGGTCTTCGTTGGCGAGCTCGGCGGCGCGCGCGACGAATGTGGATAGAGGAAGGAAGACGCCTATTGAGTCCTTGACGCGCTTCTGGCACTCCATTACTGCGGTGAGGGAGACGGGTAGTGCTACCTCGATAGGGAAGTCTTCGACAACCGCTGGTGCTTTGGCTGCTGGCTTCTTTGATGCTTCTTTCTTGGGCATGGGCTTGATGTTGGAGAGGTCGAGGTGCGACAGCTTGGTGAAGCGACTCGCCAGCTCCGAAGGGTAGGAGTTCTCGATTTGTCCAACGTAGGCGAGTACGTCTCCCTTGAGCAGCCTGCCGCCAGGACCAGTCGCGGGGATCTTATCAGCCTCCTCCTTTGGCAGACCGTTGACTTCGAGCAAGTGTTGTACGGAGGGGTATAGCGGGTAGGTTTGCTTGGAGGCCTTGCCGCTGGAGGCTTTCTTCGAGGCATCGGATTTGGCAGGCGGGGCAGAAGTTCGCTCCTCCTTTGGTACCGACGCAGGCTCTTTCTTGGACTCCTTGGGCGCTTCGGCCTCTTTCTTGGGCGCGGGGCTCTCTTCTGCGGGTATCTCGAGGGTGGACAGGTCGTCGCCGGGCTCTGCTGTGACGGCTATCCGTGTGCCGACCTGGACTGCTTTGGAACCGTCTTGGACCTGGAGTTCGTGTTAGCCATGGCATGAAGCCAACATATCTTTCCACGTACAGTGATCTTGGCCAGGATACCGTCATCCTGCGCTTCGACGTCCATCTGCGCCTTGTCCGTCTCGATCTCGAGCAGCACGTCGCCGGCGGAGAAAGAGTCTCCCTCCTTGATCTTCCAGCTCGCAATGTTGCCCTCGGTCATGGTCGGTGAAAGGGCAGGCATGTTGAAGCTTTGCGCAGCGAGCGAAGCCTGACTTGAGTGCAGTCCTCTCCGAGCACCTTGGTTGCGCAACTGCTGCGAGGCAGCCCGCGCCGAGACCCTACATACCGCAGCGAGCGAAGCCATGGGGAGGTCAATTGACGGACGGAGTCAATGGCAGTGGGAGCAGGAGGGTGTTTGGCGACGGTGCTGATCTGCTGGCCGAAATGTTGGGCGGAACAAGCTTCGGAGGTGTCGAGCGGGACGCGCTTGGGCCGCTTCCAGTTGGACTTTTTCCGACATATCGCGACGGCATCCAGGTATCCACGCCCACATACTGCCGCATTGACTTGCTGGAGTATGCTCGGTGTATAGCGCTGCATCGAAATCCCCATACCACTGCACTCACAATGCCCGCCTTCTCCCGGGGCTTCGACGCCTTCCTGCGCCAACACACCCTCCGCCTCCCCTCATCCCTCCGCGCCGCCCTCTTCGGAACACGAGAATTATTCTTCACACCCACCACGATACGGACGATATGGCAGAACCGTTCCTTCACATCCTCCGTGTTCCGACGCTACCAATATCCCAAGACCAATGTAGTCGCACCAAAACCCAGCTCATTCGTGAGCAGCGACCCCGTCCTCCGCCAAGTCGTCCAAACCCGCCAGCCAGTCCTCCTCTACCAAGCTCCCAAGAACAAGTGGTACTATCTCAAGGTGTACGGAACGGGAGCATTATGGATCGGTGTCGGTGCCTTCTCGATCAAGTTCAATGACGACATCAAAGACAATGGACTATCCTTCTTCGTCCGACCAACCTACGTCGTAGTAGGAGTGGGCTTCATCATCATCGGCTGCTATATCTGCACCGCACCCAGCAACCGAATGCGCGCACTGGAAATCCTTCCTAGTCTGCAGGGCGGGCCCATGCAATTGCGCCTGGTAGTCAAGCCGGTGCCGTGGCTCAAAGAGCGCGTCATATACACGGATTTGGGCAAAGCGACAATAAGTGAGAAGACAGAGCCCATGGTAGCTGAGCTGCTCGAGGCAGAACGGTTCAAGCGGCAGAAACTCTGGGATGACTTGGGGCACATGAACATTGCGGCGCGTGTATGGGAGGGGTCGGCGCGCTGGGTACATCAGAAGTGGACCAACTTCTTTTTGAAGTTCAAGTTCGCCGTGCTGAGATTTGGCATTGCGAAGGTCAAGGTGAGGGGTGATGAATGGAAGATTGACTGCTCCGGGTACTTGCTCGAGAACGGCAAAGGTATGTCAATGCGATTACACTCCTGAGGTAGAATCTAACCAAGATGTAGCTGTGGACCGAATCATTCCTGAAGAATAAGGCCGCTCGCATACGCTTCAGGTTTATACCCCAAAGCGTTGAGAAAGCCATGCCTAGTTTACAACTACGAGCTCGCTGAGATCACAGAAGCGCTAGTAGCATCACGGGTGGCGACAAATACTGCTATGCGTCCGTTGTTGATACGACGGAGCCCCACACGATCTTTCATGAATCGAGGTAGTACACCATGTACACGATATGTATATATAACGGCAAGCAACTGTAGACTACTGTAAGATACCAGTCCAGCACTAGTTACAAAGGACAAGTCTGTCGACACGATTCCAATGTACGGCTTGCGCATTGAAACGCAGAATCGAATGCTATTTGTTGCCCGCTCGGCAGTTGCGTTCAATTTGTCACAAGACGCAGGACGATGATGAGTAACTAGATGTATCTTTTCGCCACTCTCCAGATCTTCTCCGACTTGCTGTCTGTCTATTCGTCAACATTGTCTACGCAGGCACTTGTGGCTGTGCTATGGCCTGGATTTGCTGATAGGGCTGAGAGAGATTCTTGCGTCCAGAACTAGCCAGCTGACCTGCCTGCAGCGTGACTGCATACAACCTTGAACGAATGGGAGATCTAGGACTGGGGCCAGCCCCCTGCGCAAAACCACAGCCACAATGCCGACTGACGTAGGTCGTTGTTCCATGGTCCATGGAGTACTGAACAAAAATTGAGCGGGTAGTCGAACCGTCAACTCGTCCGCTCTCGCAACTGCCCAACGCTACATTGACCATCCGGGCTGTCAACAACAAACGATGCTACCGAATACCAGCGGAAAGCCCCTCTAGCCTGGCATATAAGGCCTTGCATACACTCTCCCCCTCTTTACTGTTCCTTCGTCCGCCCACAACTGACGTCATACGCGACCGCCCTCGCTCCCTAAGCATGCGAAAGTCCCGCTCCTCCTCCGTACGTGGTGGAGGCCCAAAACCAAACAAGAATAACAGTAGGCCCACAGTCCGGAAGGAGTTGGAGGCTTGGAAGCTCACCTCGTATGGGCCATGGACTGAGGCATTAGTCAAGAAAAGTCTTCGATTTCATGTGGACGAAGCCCGGTACAAAGCTGCAAACGGAGATTACCGATGTAAGTGACTACAGCTGCCAAAGTGGTAACACCGCTGATGAATTATAATAGCCGTCGTTAAGCTTGAGGTTCTGGATGAGGACGATCACGAGTTCGATGCCTCGGGAGTCCTCATAGGACTCGACCTAGTTCTCACCGCGGCACATAACGTTCGAGATCGTGGTGGAGACAACAATGTCTCTCGAGCAGTATCTATCAAGGCGTACATTGGATACCACCGTCAAGGCTCCTCATTCGAAGGAACTGGTGTTCAACAGCGTTTCGGAAGAATCGCCATAGTGCTTCAAGAATGGAAACGCTCTGAATTCGCTTCGCAAAACGACATGGCTCTAATCAAGCTCGAAAACAAGTTCACGCAGGTCACGCCAGCTGTATACCAGGTGCCATCATTACCGGTAGAGACAAGAGTGCTCGTCGTAGGCTATCCTGGCGAAAACAAAAAGCAAGTCCGCGGTTCATGTCCACGTTGTCAGACAGCTGGATGCATGTACGAAGTGGCGGGCGAGGCTAAGCAGGCGACCGAAAAGCTTTTAGAGTATAAGCTATCGACCGTAAGCGGTAAGTGCCAACCCTGAGATACATCTAGGCTTTGGAGAAATGCTAACAAGAAGGGGTAGGCAACTCTGGAGGTCCCATCTTTCTCGACAAGATGCCGAGAACAGTCATAGCTACCCATACCGGCGCCGTCCTCGATCGAGTAGGAATCAATCACGCCACTTTAGTGGACGTCGACTTCATCGAAGCAACCAAGACTTTCCTGAGCATACCACATTCATGTTCTCATCGCCATGTCCGGATGAGCCGGCAAGGTGGTAGTCGCTTCTGGAGTATCTCTTTGTCGATAGAGGTCATACCCGGTATCACAACCCCCATGCCTTCCAGATCCAGAAACCAGGCATAGGCCTGTCGCGCCTGCCATGTCGCATACCAAGGACAAAACAGGCTGGGCCAAGGTTTCGCAATCGAGCCCGTACAATGAGGAAGAGGTGTTCGACATGGTCTCACACCGTGATCAGCCATGATACACAGCACCTGAAGCTCATCGATTCAACACACATTGGTAAAGTCTTCGACTGCCATGACAGCGTTCAACACCCTGTCACATCGCGATCACATATAGCGTCCAACAAGCTCGCGTTTTCGGTTTTCGGCTACGGCAAGCTGTATTCCTGCTGTCACACTTCCTTCCCTTCACATTATACCCCTTGTAGATGTCTTGAGCATCGCTGCATATTATGATACCCCCTTCTCCATTCTTCCCGTTGTTTCTCGGTGGTCGTTGTCAAGGAGGCAAACAGGAACTATTCAGCGAGCGATGAATGTTTAGCAAAATGATTCTCGAGATTTTGAGTGAGTGCGATATCAGTTTATGAATTCTTAGACAGTCTAATCGCAGTGTGTATTTCTCTCTTACGTGCCACAGTCCTCTTTCATTTCCACGCCACCTGGGCATGTCGTCCACACAATTCGTGTACCATGATACTGGAAACAAATGGCCTTTATCTTCCAATCATGCATTGATCCTGGTTCCAACCTCAACATGTTACGCTCAAAACCCGACATCCAACCAATACCCCGTACTCCCCTTCCCCTTGTAAAACTGCGTGAACGCACCTACTGCCGACCTACCATCCTCTATGTTAGCAAATGCCACGAATTTCACCAGTCGTAATCACATACCCTTGCAACTGCTCCTTATCCTTAGCCTTCTGCCAATCCTTCCATCGCTCCTTCTCAGGCAGCGTCGCATCCCGCCAGCGCTCTTTACCTGGTTCAACGGATTTGGAACGGCGGGACCCGGAATGGATATGCAGTTTTGAACGCCAGGAATGTGAGGAGGAGGGACGTTCTGGTGTTGATGTAGGGGGTTTTGGGCTGGATGTGGATGTGGAGGTGGATGTTGAGGTGGAGGTTGTGGATGCGCTTGTTACGTTTACGAGAGGGGCTGTGGAATTGTTGCTCTCCTTCTCGGTGGACATTTCTGGGACTTGAAGTTTGGATGGGTCTGTCATTGTGGGAATGATATGTATGTGGTTGAGGTGGAGAAGTGCGGAGATGGAGTGATGGGGACAGTGGGGAGGGTTTATGGTGGGATGAGAGGAGAACAGGTTTTATGGTATCACAGCGCTTACTATCTATATAGTATCGGTAGGGTATAAGTTGTTTATCACTGGTCGTGGCTGTGAAATCTTACTGTCTGTGAGACGGGCGTAAGGCGTCCACAGGGCTGAGTCCACTAGCCGCCCCCAATGTTGCGGGTAGTGTGGCGTTGTGGCTGTGGCTGTTTCGGACCGACCTGCGAACTGAGAACTTGATGTACTTGATGTAAACATTTCCTACTGACCATACACTACTCTACTCTGCCAACTCCACCTCATCAAGATTCTTCCGTATGAACTTCGTCACTGCATCCAACCCCTCTTTAATAACGTCCGTCTGATTAACAAACCCAATCCTGACGTACCCCTTGAACTCCTCGCCGAAACAAGTACTACCAGGCACAAACATAACGCCCGTAGCCTCTAGCAACTTTTTGCAAAAGTCCACAGAATCCACTGCCTTGCCTTCTCGGTGGAACTTGACG